GAAAATTGGAAAGGTGTAAAGGTACATAAAATGCACATACTATGGCAGTACTTGTTGAAAAGGCTTGAGAGCTTTTTATTCTTTGGCTTTATGCGCTTGAGAGCCAAACCAAACATTACAGATTGTATTTTATGTTGTATTACCATCCAGTATTTTATGCCACATGACTCTAGGATTTGAATAATCTTGGAAGTTCTTTAATTGTAAGCCAAAGTACGTGTTTGCAGTACTTATTGAAAAGGAGGGACGGTAAAAAACTGATAAACGCGTACTCTAAAAAACATAAAATACACGACTGAACCAGTTTAAATGAATTGACTGTCTAATGCAAAGATGTAATACTAATCTCATGTAGAAATAGGGTAATAAAGGATTCTCGGACTTTATGTGTTTCTGGTTGTCTTCCTTCTTTGGTTTATGCGCTTGAGAGCTTCCCTGTTCTGGCCTACGTTTGCCTTGCCGCAATGGTTAACGATCGTAACTTAATGTTCTGGCCTTCACATACTTAACGATCGTTATGTATAGGGGTAGTCTCGTTAATCACTTATTTATTATTTAATTAAGTGACTGTGCTTAGTAAAAGTATGGTTGTGAATAGAATTTCCCTTTTCAAAAGTGCAGCCCCTCTTGTTTTCTCACGTATGAGTTGGGATATAAGCCCATTTATTTTGAAATCTTCATGAAACAGTTCCCGGACTTGTAGCTCCAATAAAAATGACACAATTCTTCTTAATTCAGCCCAATGAATCCTTAAAACCTTCCATTAAAACCCTGCACTCTAAAATTCATTTTTAACAAAAAATATAAGTCGTCAAACCTCTCAATCAGGCAAATAATAAGCATGGAATTGTGATAAAATAATACAAAAATGAAGTACAAATTCCAGCTCATCAGAGTTGAGTTTGACAACTTGAAGAAAAGGCCGATGAAGCTGACGTAGTGAAAAATGACCTTCAGTTGAAGTTGTATAGTGCAGTGGATGCTCGGGATAAGGCCGATGAGGCACAATGAGAATAAGTTGGCAGCAGCAGCAACACTAATTGGATGCAAATCATGCATCATTTCTGAACAAAACTTCACACTTTCTCCCACAATTTGCACTTGGTTTTCAATATAGTGTATAGTGTTCTGAAAATATACACAAGTCATTTAATGGATTAGCTAAACCATTGTTTGATGCTCTTTGGATCAAAGGATTTATGATTCTTAGAGATTAATAATAAAGGCTACCAACTATATGTAGGAGCTAATTGCACATGAGGAAAGTTTTTCTAAGAAGATTTATATAAGCATGTTCCAAATAAAATTTAAATGATAATGAACAGACATGGAGAACTACTTTCTCCGAGACATGTGCATAACTAAAAAGTTATTTAACTTGCAAGAACAGGTAGCAACAACGAAACAATAACAATAAAATAATGACTCTAAAAGATAGCCCTTATCTTGAAGAAAATGTCTAGAGTGAGTATCTAATCAGAAGAGAAGGATTATCAATTGGATCCTGTTCATAATTTTTACAATTAATGCATATGCAGAGAACTGGTTTCAAATTATACTATAACAGCATTCAAAGCAAATCATGGCAAGAACCTAAAATAGATAGTGGAGTTAGGATACATACTGAACAAGATCCGGTACACAACCACCTTGATTTTAACAAGAACGTCCTGGGGCGAAAACCTGACTTGGTCAAAACATGCAGAGTTGCGGAAGAGGATTGGACAAAAGCAGCATGAAGCGGATGCCCCGTTTTTCTGTTGAGACATTCATTGAACTGCCGCCCATTTACCAAGTTGCAACCCCCATCTCCATCCATCGCGACATAGCTTTGTGTTCTTACTTTCTTTGAAAATAACCTTTACGTCGTCAAACTAGAAAACGTTAACGTAAGGACCGTAGCGCAAATTATTAAAATTTGATTTAAAAGTGATGCTCCCTTGTGAAGTCTAGAGGGGGGTGAATAGACTTTTAAAATCTTTTTTTTTCAACCTGTTTCCTCAAACAGAATGAGATCGTAATCTCTTTTGAGAGATATTGAACCATACAGCGGAAGTCTTGACCTCAAGAGTGTGACACTTTATAGAAACAAAGGTTATGACCCTTTTAGTTGTGACAGAGATGGATAGACAGAACGCGTATGTATGAAGGATTTAGATCTATTGACATAGATCTCTTTGAAGTACGTAGGTAAGGAGTTTTGATTCACATAAAACTTTAGAGAGCTTTCTGGACAGTGAGTATGCAAGCTTCTGGGATAGTATGAAGGTGAGTGAGAACTGAAGTGTGTGTTGGGTGCTGAATGTGAAAGGTACACAAGATATATCCTGGTTCAGAGGTGGTAATCCTCCTACATCCAGTCCCAACCTATTTCAGATGGATTTCCACTAAATGAATATCCCATTACATTTAGTGCCCAATCTACCCTTGGCCCAGACGTAGATTGTGAGGTTTTTCACGAGGAACTTAACACTGTTCTAAGCTACTCAGTCCTCCAAGGTTTTTCACTAATGGCATTGCCCAGCCAGAAGCTACTCATGTCCTTGTGCTTCTCACCTTCTGGATGATCACAAAATCTTCCAGAATGTCTAACACCAGTCTAGTTTACATGAGTTTAAACTAGGCTACCAACTAATCTAAGCTCTAAAGATGTGTATGAATTGTGAGCTATTGTAAGAGCATTAGATGAGCGGGGTGGTAACCAGAGTGGTGAAGGTGAATAATCTAGCTGGATGTGTTCGTGTAAATCTTGATTCCCTTCGGTTCTACTATGTTCCTATAGACCATGATTTTACCATCTGGTGCCACACTTGATCTTCCTGCACTCCTTCTGTATGTATAGACTTTGTTGTTGAATCTCCTCCATTGGCTGAGTGATTCAATCTTGATCGTTGCTTGATCTACATGCTTTGTTCCACTTGACTGGAGCAGCATGGTTGATTCTTGTCTTCTTGTGACACGGATCATATATCTTCACTCAACTTGATTCCTCATTTTTAGGCAAAGATAAAGATGATTTATCTTTATTTCTTTAGCCAGTAGAAACTCAGTATTTAGGCCGAGTGTTGTTCAATTCTTCCACATAACAGAATTTCTTGCTTTTAGTAAAGTAAATTTATAAGAAATTTTATCACGTAATTTCTTATAAAATTACTTTCTTTTCTTTCTATCATTTTGACTGCAAGTCGGTCTTTTGTTTAAGTGTTTCTGTGCTAAGAGAAGAATAACATATTTTGGTGCATAAGTAGAATACTTATGAGGTCTTCTGTTCTGGTGTCAACAGAGAACCATTTATGTTGTTGACAGAATACATGAGGTCTTCTGTTTCGACCATGACAGAAGGTCGCAATATGGTTTTCTACTCAAGTGTCTGATTTCATAAGGGCTTCAGTTGACTCTTTTCGTACCTTTTCTTTTTGTTTCTTTTTCTTTTGTTTTATGGTACATTTCTTCTCTTTTTAGTACTCTTTTTTTTTCTTGAGTACTTTATCACTATGGAGCACATTACACTAAACAGAGTAGAACAAATACAAGCTCTAGTCTATTACAGGAATAATACAAAAAGGGGTGGCATCATCAAAACAATATAAAATGATTATCAAAATCTAGGGGACCTAACAAAAAGACATTCCAACTCATTACTAGACGCTTTAAATTTTCATGTGTGATATGCATCGTACCTTCCAAATTTCTAGAGGCACCATAGAACGACCCACATATTAATTAGCCTCCTAAAAATAAGGAATTGTTTCTTTATGGTAACTGCCGAGATACTGCTTCTATTATTATTGTTGGTGGTGTTGTTGTTATTAATATTACTCCCTCCATCCCGCTAAAAGGTTCCCGTGAACGGTTTACGATATTTGACTGACGATAAAGCAACTTAATCCCTACTCACACTCTGATTATTTTTAGTAAATAAAACTAACATATTCAGAAAATATATTAAAACCGCTACAAAGTCTGATAAAAAATGTAAATTTGATAAAAATTTGATTTATAAAGTAAAAGATTAAAAATGATTTAAGTTGACCATGAGAATAGTGGACGGGAACCTTCTAATGGGATGGAGGTAGTATTATTATATTAGATTATTATATTATATAAATTAATAAATGATGATACATAGTATTATATAAATTAATACATTATATTATTTAAATTAATAAATTATTATATTATATAAATTAATAAATTAAAGTATTATTATACGTAGATTACGTACTACAAATTTTAGTGCTCTCCTACATATTTATTTCCCTCTTACATAATTAATTCCATTTTGTATTTAATGTTTATTTCATTTATGGATCATATATAAAATGCAAGGATTTAGTGATATACAATAATCCATTTATTGTCTTTTAGTTACTGCCTATGTGATTATCTGTATCATACATGTGTACTGCAATGTAATTTATGTGCTTTTCTTTTGTTCAATGCATTAATTTATTGCCCATTTATTTACTGTCCTCTAATTACTGTCTATGCTCACCGTCATCATTTTTTACTACCTCTGTACTTGTATCATCAACACATTCTTCTCAAATAATAACTTCTATTTGGTAGCATTTTCGTAACTGACAAAGATGAGAAATTAAAGCATACATTAGACTGCATTAATTATAGTTCCTAAAAATAAGGAATAGGTTCGTACATGCATAAGGTCACAATCGGTTATTTATTTTCATAATTCTAGCCGGCCATGTATGTGATGTTCAATTTGGTCATACATAAGACTAAAATCATATATATATATATATGTGGTCATATTATTGGAAAAGTCACGAGTTTTAGTAATATTATATCGTTTTTCCATTGGAGAAGATTAATTAAGAAAGGGTGGATGGTTGTAAGCGAAAATGGTGGTGTAGCGCGCACTATGGCCACTAGTTGGTTAATGGCTCTCACGTACTCTTCTTCATCTTCTCTTGCATGCCCATGCAACTATTATCATTATGAACAAGGATTAAAAAGAAGCCAGCTGTGGAGAAATCAAAGTAAAATTAAAGGAAAGCAAAGAAAAGATTCAAAAGAGGTAGCGAAGTTAGCTAGCAAATCATTTTGATGATGATGATGATTGTCAACCATATCTCCAACCATTGCGGGTGAGTATCGATCACGTACGTACGTCACCTACAGCGTACATGCCGCATGCATGCATGCATGTCGTCGTCTTCCACCTCCACCGACAAGTATATATATATATATATATATATATATACATATACGTTTGTATGATGCAAATGTAACCCCTTAAATAGTTTGACCGGAATCATGCACAACGACGATGTTATGGACGACACCCAAGTTGAATGCCACGACCAAATTATTATAGCAAACGAAGAGAATACAACGACAGGCCAGGATGATGAAGAAGAAGAATACACCAACAATGTGTTGCCGCCTGATCTACTTAGAATATCCCAAGACATAGATCGATACATCTTTGATCTGCGGAGCTCTACAGAAGCATCCAAGATGATGTCCGCCCCTGACGTTCCCATTTGCGTGGAGCAGTTCACGGTTCTCGTGGAAGAGATGGTGGATGAAAAGGATGGGTGTGGTGTCAAATGGAGGGAGTTGAAAGAAGCAGCGGCCGATTCTTTCCTCCAATCCGCCAATCGCCTATCTAATCTCTCCAAACTGCTTCTCCATTTCTCTTCTGAGTACAAATATGCATACTCCATCAGTCGGGTTGGAGGCGTCCTCCAGCGTGTCATGTCCTACCTTGAACATGCTTTCAAATCCTATCTAGAAGATTACAAAATGTGTCCTCCAGAGGCAACCGCGAGTGATCAACCTGATGAGCCGCAACCTGCAGCTGCAGAGGACAAGGAATCGGAGGTGGTGGAGGAGGGGGTAGTGTTGAAGAAACTAGGAAAGGCAATGATGTTAGGGGCGTACGAGGCAGAGTGCTGGAACACATACTTTGTGTCACGATGGGTGGTGGTAGATGAGAGCCTCCGCCGTCTCGGCTTCGAGAAATGGAGCGTGGAGGAGGTGCATAGGATGGGGTGGGAGGGTTTGGAGAGAGAGATTGTGGCGTGGCTGAGGACGTTCAAATACTGCTCCACCGACCTTCTCCTGTCCGAGCGGAAGCTCTCCACCTCCATCTTCGAGGACTACCCTTCCATGTCAGAGAGCATAACAAGGGAGTTGTCCCGTTTCACGTTAACACAGCTCCTTGACTTCTCCAATGCGGTCGCCGCCACCAGTAAGCGCGTCCCAGATGATCAGAGGCGGCTTTACAAGCTCCTGGACATGTACGAGGCCTTGCGGGACCTTCTTCCCGACCAGGTCAAGGCCGGGGCCTTATTGACCCAGTGCCGCCTCGGGGAGTTGGCCATCACCATTGTCCATGAGCTGCTGGAGCACAACATGGTGATCACAATGAATTCGGACTCCGCAAAGAACCTGCCCGCTGGTGGTGGGATTCACCCACTGACGCGCACAGCCATGGGCACCATAGAGCGCATGTGCTCATACAAAGACACATTGGAGCAAGTGTTCGGGCAGCACCATCAGCAGCACCAAGAACAACAACAACAACTTGGACTTGGAGGTGATGATCATTTCAAGGTGCAAATTGTGAAGGCGATGGAGGTGATAGAAAGCAACTTGGAGGCAAAGTCAAAGCAATACAAAGACCCCTCCCTGAGCTTGATCTTCCTGATGAACAACGGGCGGTATGTGATGCAAAAAGTGAGGGGATCGGAGGGGATGAGCAGCCTGATGGGGAGCGGCGGCTCATCATGGATTCGGAAGAAGTCTGCGGATCTGAGGCAGTACCACAAGAAGTACCAGCGGGACACGTGGGGGAAACTGCTGCAGTATTTGGGCGGTGAAGGGCTGACGGCAGCGGGGTCCAGCGGGAAGGTGAACAAGCCGGCGCTGAAAGAGCGGTTCAAGAGTTTCAACGCGATGTTTGACGATATATATAAGGCGCAGAGCAGCTGGGTGATTAGCGATGAACAGCTCCAGTCTGAGCTTCGAGTGTCCATCTGCAACATGGTGGTCCCCGCATACAGGTCGTTCGTCGCTAGGTTTAGTCACACCTTCACGCCTGGGAGGCAGACTCAGAAGTATGTTAAGTATCAGGGTGAAGATCTTGAGAAGTACATTGATCAGCTCTTCGATGGAAGTAGTAGTGCCACCAAGAAGAAATAATTATTAATTAATACGGATCCATCAGTACGTACATATCCATTTATATTTAGCTAGTTTGATTAGTGCGTGCCATTCAAATTTTGTTGTTTTAGTCATGCATGTATGTAGGCTGGCTAGATATATGAACAAGCTAGTTAGTAGTGCATGTACCCGTCGATCGGTGCACAGGATGACAGGATACATATGCAAAAAGAATTAGTACTACTACTTATTATTTATTTAATGCGCCCCTTTCTTTATTCAAAAATAAATATCAGATAATTTAGATTAACCGTTAAAGTAAAAGGCAAAGTCTTTCAGGAAATATATGTGTCTCTAGGAATACAAGTATTGGCTGGAACATATCACATTCATTTGAATGAAACTGTGGCCTGGATTGTTTTACACTTTTAATGACAGAGAAGTTACCTTTTCGTTGTTATAGTGAGCAAGAACGTATTTAGTTTGACAAATATGTTGTCACATTTCTTGCAACAAAAAGATCAAAAGATTCTCGAGACTATGTTGGAATCCCTCCTTAGTGGAGAAACTCATTAGAATTCTCAGAGATATCAAACATTATTTATATGTGTGTGATGGATAGTGTACCCGGGGGTAGCTTATCCGAGGGATATTATAATGAATATTCAGAGAGAGATCAGAGCAATAAGTAAGAGAGAGAGTGGTTGTGTGTTCAATATAGAAATTGTGTGTCGATTACAATGGAAGAATAGCTGCTATTTATAGCAGCCATAAATGTTAGGTCTAATCAACGAGGGTACACGTGTCGAGCAACCAGCGATGGAGGGTCAATTCAGCCAGGGTGGCGCCGACATAGCATGTGGCCGCATTTAATGCGATGGTTTGGGTGTGACGTTCGCATTCAATGCGGCGATCCAGCGAATGTGAAAGCTGTGTATATGCCGAAGGCTGTAAATATCGAAGGGTGCACATAATCTCAACCTGAATTTCCCAGTGATGTTAGTCGACCAAGTGTAACTGTTTGCCAAATGTGTGGCTTTCGGCCATGAGGTCGAAGGCAGTAACCTGTTGCAGTATGGGCTGTCCAGAACCTTGCTTGCTGTGTTTGGGCCTATTAGGCCTGGTTGTAGTAGTGGAAGTATGAGGGTCGGGGGTTCCTGGGTCATATACTCCATCAGAAGTCCCCCACTCCTTTTGTCGAGAGCTTCTCGAGGCAAATAGGAGTAAGTGTTGTGAAGTCTCCGGTGGTTGCCTTGATGTCGCTGTGAAGTAGTGAAAACATTTCCTTTGCGTCGAGGGGTTGCTTGGTGAAAGTGTGTTTTCAGCAGGTAGCCGAGGGCCGAGGGTCGACACCTTTTGATCCAAAGATAGATCGGAGCTCTAAAGCTATTGTTCCAACTTCATTTACAATACATTAATTAAAAGTTACAGATTAACCATGTATTTAAAAATGTTTCTGATTTCACTCCGAACTCGTGTGAAATTAAATGCGATCATATATTGCTCTATTTTGTGCTGTTAAAAGCGTTTAATATCTCGTTGGAAAGATCTTACCGGGTTAATACAGAACCGTTATTAAAACATTCAATAGCAGTTATACGTTAACCGTTATTAAAGATTTTCAATATGGGATTAATCAACTCATATGAAATGTGTTCATAACATTTAATTCATACCCACCTATTTCTAAATATCAGAAATTTACACATATCATCAACATTTATCACAACAAAGTAAACAGATATCATTTCTCATAACTAATAAAATTCCACATTCACATTGTTTTGATCCAAAAATATTCAGCAAAAATATTCACAACATTCATCAAAAACTAACTTTGAGTTCACAAGCCTCATCAAAAACTAACTTTGAGTTCACAAGACTCATCAAAAACTAGCTAAGAGTCTAAAAATTATATCAAATATCCGTAGCTTCGCAGAAAAATGACGCCCAACGCTCTTGTGTCTCGTTGATTTCTTGATCACTGAATGACTCTTGAACGTTGAATGCCTACAAATTAAATAACGAAACTAAAGGAATAAATACAAAAATCATGAAGAAAAATAAATAACATGTACAGTAACAATATGGGAACAAATAAGCTAATTAAAACGTCATCTTCATCCAAAAATCAACATTACCAGCAGAAACAACAGTAGCCATATGTCTCATAACATAGTAGCCACACTCATAATCACCTTTTTGCATTCGGGACTACAAATAAACAAGGGTAAAATTTTATTACACACAAGTCAATTACAAGTGCAATACCAAATCTGATCATTCCCTTACAACCAAAACTCACCTTTCAAGAAAGACAATACTAGCAAATTCAATAATATTTCACATCACAATAAACACATAGGATATAAATTTTTATAACACATACAAATAAGATATAAATGGTTATTATCACCATTGGTTGAATCCATTTCAATTTAGAATTCCTTTTATTTTTTGTCATCTGATGTGCTTGCATCGCCCTAATAAAGTATAAGTATAAAGTAAAAGTTAGTCACATTATAGAATTCCGAGTTTCAATGAAAATAATCAATTTTGTAAAGTTCTATATCACAACTCCAAAAGACTTCTTATATTCTTCTTTGGCTTATTCCCCAATGAACATAAAAAGACAATTGCATTCTGCTTCGGGCGCAACCCGAACAACTGTCAATGAATACTGAAATGAAAAGAGTGAATTTTTAACTATGGAGGAAGCTTATATATCAATATGCACAAGATTTAGACAAACAAAACACACTCATGATTTCAAAAGAAACAAAGGATAGCCTGGAGGAAGCTTATATATTAATAAATCGTAATTATCAATTATACTTGTACTTACGGGTAGTAGTATGGCAATAAATAACATTCCTTATTTTCACCGAGGTGGGTCAATAAAGGTCTTACCATATGCTGGAGGGTTAGCAATGATGGCATCTACTTTGAATGGGTCATTAGATTCTGGATCAGGATCTGTGCATGCCAGAAGTAAAAAGAAAACAATTTCTCGTATCTCCTTAAGTTGAATATATATTTCAGAAGGCCCAGATGGCAAGAAACCTTTGTTCTTTACCATATCTGCAATTGTCGTAGTTATTCAAATCAACAGCAACTTCTTCCGAATGTAAGTGATACGTTTGTAATTTTCATATGCATGTTTGTGTTTTTAATTAGTTTTTCTTGATCTTTACTATGGAAATTACACACTTTTGGTGTAATAGATTAGTTTGTTAAATTCTTGTAAATAATTTAGATTAGATATATTCTGAGCTCAAACAGGTCTTGATCACTCAAAGTACAGTTGGTGAACACAAAGAGTGGAAAGAAGGTCCAAAATTTGAAGACAAAAGAAAGATCCTGAATTTTGGTCTATACTCGGTCGAGTATTAACTATACTCGATCGGGTATTAGGTTGAAACTTCAAATCGGATCAGATCCGAAGACAAGGGAACATGCCGGGAGGATTTCGGCCACGATTTAATGTCTATACCCGATCGGATAGACCGACATACCCGATCGGGTATGCCTTTGAGTTTTAAACGAAGACCGGTCGAGTATGGCTCGAATACCATTTTCTAAGCATACTCGACCGGGTATAAACATATACCCGATCGGGTATACCTGTGGAAAATAGCCTGAAACCGATCGAGTATACCTCGAAGCGAGTATTACACACATACTCGATCGGGTACCATGTATATACCCGATCGAGTACCCGAATCCCATCCCAAAAGCCTATAAATACACCTCCTTTCCTTCACAAAAAGATATCCAATTCCTTTGTACATCTAAGCTCAGTATAGAATAGTTCTTTCTTTATTTTTTTCATCATGTTTAGTCTCCAAATGAGGAGCTAAACTCTTCCATCTTGGTTTTGCTACTTTGAAGCTTAATGAATTTGTAAGTTGTGAGTTATTTTCTTTAATCTTCTTCCTTGAATATTAATTCTTCCTTTAAAATACTATTTCTATATCAAAGTTGGGGAGTCTTACTAAGATGACAATTAGTTAACATCTTGACATTGGTTATAGTAATAGCTATTTCTTCCTCTATGTTAATATTAGGGAGTGTTACTAAGATGACAATTAGTTAACATCTTGATATTAATCATAGTAGGATTCATATTCTTTAATATTCTTCCTTGAGTATTAATTAATTCCTATTCATATTTCATGTTAATATTTTAAACATTACTTAAAGTATCAACTAGTATTGTTTCTCATATTAATCATTACTAGAATCGATCGGTTAATACACTTTTTATTAATCCGGTTCTTTCAACAGTAGTAAACTTGGAATATTAATGCATGCATCTCATGGTTAATATGCCAAGGGGAATTAATTATATTGATTAAACCAATAAACCGCTTGTGTTGAGGTTATCAATCTCAATCGTTTTCATCTTAAGTTTATTGCTACTATCAAGTTAATATACGGCGCTTGTTCTATATTGACTCGATAGTAAGTTTTATTAATGAACGCATCTCGTTATTAATAACTACCCTCGATGAACTGGATATACTCCTCGATTGAGTATTCGAGAGGAAGATAGTTAAAGATATAACCGGGATCGATGAACATTTCATTAAGTGGATAAAAGCAAAACCAAGTCTTCATCTCTATAAATTAAACTCATATAAGTCGTTCATCTAGTGTTAATTAAATTAAATCAAATCAAACTTAAAACCCCCCTTGTTACTATTCACATAAAAGAAAAGTATTTCTTTCCCTGTGGATACGAACCTTACTTCACTATACTACGTATTAGTGTTGTATTGATAAATTATTTTGAGTGCATTTCACGACAAAGTGCACGTCAAATTTGGCGTCGTTGCCGGGGAAAGGCAATTAATTTTTCTTTATTTCATTTCAAAAAAAAATATATTAAACAAAAATATAAAGAGTGTTTATTTTTCTATTTTCTGAGCTTAGTGGAGTTTATGGTTAAACATCGTTCCATAAACGAAATCACATATCACAAAAACCCAGTGACGTGCACTCGTCGTTAGGTGCACTCAAAATAATTAATCAATACAACACTAATACGTAGTATAGTGTAGTAAGGTTCGTATCCACAGGGAAAGGAATACTTTTCTTTTAAATAAATAGTAACAAGGGGGTTTTTGATTTGTTTGCTTTAAAAACACTAAGATAAACAACCTATATGAGTTTAATTCAATGAGATGAAGACTTGGTTTTGCTTTTATCCACTTAATGAAATGTTCGTCGATCCCGGTTATATCTTTAA